AATACCAAAGAAAGGCAGGGGACTGCAGATGGACACATTGACAAGAAGGGAACATTCAACCGACGAGATGGTTATTGAAACACCCACAGATGCTTCAACCAGCTGTGAGATGGCAGAACCTTCTTCTTCATCAGTTCGAAAGACTCTACGTTCAGATCCTGATGTCCTTCCAAGTACCTCTGATACTACTTGTTATGAAGAGGAGGGCGAGGAGGCGGACGTGTCAGAGGAATGGGAGGAAGACAAGATGGAATGTGCTTCCACCACAGGAATTAGTGATCAAGAGGACTGCATGCTGATGGAGGGCGAGCTACAGAAACAACCAACGATTATACTCCCTTCCACAAACACCGACAGTCCAAACACGAGCATGAGTACATCTGAAGTGCCTAGTAGGGGTAGGCCGAGATCGCTCCTATGGGATCATTACGACGTCCATAATGAGAGGGCCACTTTGGCAGTTTGCAGGCATTGCGGTGTGAGCGTCAGCAGAGGAAAAGATATGAGGCATCTTGCCACAACAGGGCTAAGGATGCACATTAAGATACACCACCCCCAAATGTGAAGTTGGTCCTTCTTACTTAACTTGCAATACTGCTACAGAAATTAGTATGTATGCAATACTTCCCAGATAATTTTCAGAGTTTTTTCAAAGTGCAATTTCTGTTACTTTTTGTTACTTTTTCTTTATTTATTTCTTATATTTACTTTCTAAGTTTTTATAATAACATTATTTTTATATATTAATAATTTATAATTTAATTTTATATATTATTTTTATTATTATTTATAATTATATTTTATAAATATTTTATAAATTTAATTATATTTTATTTAAATATTTATATTATTATTTATTTCATTTATATAATATATATAATAATATATTATTATATTATATTATTTTATTTTATATTGTATATATTATATAATTTTATATTATTATTATTATTTATTATTTATATTTTATTTATTTAAATTTTATTATTATATTATTGTTTATTTCATTATATTATTAAATTGACTCAGTTTTGGATACTTTATCTTATTACTTTTTTATTTAATATCTTAATATCTTGTTCTATTTGATTATTTTATTTGATTTATTTTATGAAATGATTTTGTTTATAGAGCATTTAGCATTGCGCAATCGCGTCCGCCGTTTTAACGAATCGATTCGTTATTATTTTAATAGCGAATCGATTCGTATTTAATAACGAAGTTTCGGAAGTCGCTTTTGCGCATGCGCAATCGCGTCCGCCGTTTTAACGAATCGATTCGTTATAACCTTAACGAATCGACCCCGCGCCAATAACGAAGCTTCGGAAGTGATTTTGCGCATGCGCGGGGGTCCGCCATCTTAACGAATCAATTCGTAAATATTTACGAAATTTCGTAAATACCGAACTTTTTTAAGGGAAAATTTTGTAATTATTTTAAATATCGAAACAAAAAAAACACCCCAATTACAAATCGATTTTAGAAACAAATTTTTGCGTTGTTACCCAGGCCTAGTAGGCAGGGCTCCCAAACTCATTGACACAGCACCCCTCCCCCCCAATAGAGAAAGAGAGAAAATCCTACATATTTCCATAGGCATTTTGTAAGAACACAAGTTTTGTTGCATGCATTTCTGAAATCTACACAGTTCTGGGTGTATGTGCCTTTTAATTCATGTCCTGCCATTGAATGTTTGCTCTATGTATGCTGTGCTCCACCCAGAGTCCCCTTCAGGGTGAGAAGGGTGGAATATAAATGTTTTCAATCAATCAATCAATCAATCAATCAATCAGTCAATCAATCAATTCACAAGGTGCCAAGTGTCAGCTTCATATGGGCCCATTCAGCCAACTCAAAGCCAAAGGCCTGTCTGAACATTCATGTTTTCAGGTTGAAACAGAAGGATTGAAGGGTGGGAGCTAATCTAATCTCTTTTGGGAGGGTATTCCAGAGCCAGGGGGCCACCATGGAGAAGGCCCTCTCTCTCATCCCCACCAACTGCGCTTGAGACGATGGTGGGACCAAGAGAAGGGCCTCCCCGTTGATCTCGGAGCCCGCACCAGTTCGTAGAAAGAGATGTCACAAAGATAGGTTGAACTCAAAGCCTAGAGGGCTTTATAGGTGATCACCTGCACCATGAATTGATCCTGGAAACTTGTCAGAAGCCAGTGGAGCTGCTTCAGCAGGGGCGTGGTATGTTCTTTGTGGCTAGCCCAGGTAGTAACCTGGCAGCCGACCTTTGCACTAGCTGAAGTTTCCAAACTGTCTTCAAGGGCAGCCCACGTAGAGTGAATTACAATAGTGCATTCTGGATGTAACTAAGGTGTGGACCACCATGGCCAAGCCAGGCTTTTCGAGGTACAGCCACAGCTGGCACACAAGTTTTAACTGTGTGAAGGCCTCCCGGGTCTGAGCAGGTGTCCTCCAACATCACCATCTTAGTACAATCCTCCAGGAAGGAGCAGAGCCTTTGCAACACAGTGCCCCCAAAACCCATTCAAAAGAGCCAACTAAGAAGAATACCATGGTCAATGGTATTGAAAGCCACTGAGATGTCCAAGAGAACCAAGAGGGACACACTCCCCCATCTAGTTCTCTGCGGAGATCATCCACCAGGGTGACCAGAGCTATCTCCATTCCATGACCAGGCCTAAAACCAGACCGAAGTGGAGAAACTGTTGGAAGTGTGCACCAGTTGGTAGCTCACCATGGTCTTTCTTTTTAGGCTGAGACCGCCCACGGCTCAGCAACACCAGAATGTTCCTCATAGGTGCTATAATTCCTCTGCCTCATATGTATTCCTGGGGAGAGGGGAGGGGGTGGAAATTGGAGCCTCCTTTCCACCGGGTCCTTCTGGGCTTCCTTCTCCTTTTGGGTGATTCCGAGGAGAGGCGTCCATTCTATGTGACTATGAAGTCCATTCTTGTAAATCCCACCAAAGATCACAGCATGAAGGCCATCCCAAAGACCAGCGCCGGGCACCAGCTCTGCCCATTCTCCACAACAGCTACGCCTCATGCTTGCTGAGAAGACCCCCACCCTCAAGACCCCCACTCACCTTGGACTGCAGGGCTTCCTTTGGCCTCAAGAGCAGCAAGAACGACAGCGGCAGGCAGACTGGATCTTGGCACTGGTCCTAAAGCCGTGGTGCTTTCACTTTCTCTACACTCACGGCATTTCCCAGAAAGGAGGAAGAGAGAAGCTCCCTCTTGTGTGGGGGAAAGGACATAGTCAGGGCCCGTCTCAGAAAAGGGGAGAATTCCTTTCAATGCAGCCCACCCCTCTTGGTTCAGAAATTCAAGCCTGCACAGAAGGAGTCGGTTGTTCTCAGCACAGAAACACAACCAGATATTCCGTTCCCAGGACAAGCGCCTTGTAAACAGGGTGGGTGCCATGGATATAACTGAATACCTTTCCCAATCACACCACAATACACACAGACACACACTCACTCATGCCTGCATGGACATCCTAGAGGAGACAACCAAGACTTGGAAGACAAGCCATGATGCCAGCGCTGTGGGTTGTGTCCCTCCTTGGCTTTGTGTGCCCAGAGGTATCTGTGGAGCGCAAGTATGGGGACAGAAGGCTTTGCGGAAAGCAGCCTGGCTTTGCATCCCCCTAGGGCTGAGAAAAGCGGTATATAAATAATACTGTAAATAAATTCTTTCCAGGTGAAGGTCAGTCTGTTCATTAGTGTTATCCAGTTTGCCTTCCTGCTCATTATCAGGCTGAGAACTGTCCTCCTTTGCACCTGCACCTGGCTAGTTTCAGTATCAACACACTCATTTCTTCCTTGGGAAACTGAACTTCCACACCCTGCTCCTCATTGACTATAACAGGAACATTTTGAACCTGATTGGGATCCTGAATCCCATCCTCCTCCTCTGTGACGGCGTGAGTGGCGCCATCTATGTATAGAACTGTTAGTTGTTAGACTTAAACTGTTGTATCATGTTTAATCCTGCCCCTTTTACCTTGTTGTGTATATTTGTATGGATTGGTTACTTATAGCTGTCAATCAGTACTGTTTGGCTCCACCTCTTACTGCAAGAGGGGAGAACTTCCTTTTTCTTCATTCTGCCTTCAGAGATCATACCACATGGACGTGAGTAAGAGACTTCATTCTTAAGGACCCTGTTTTAAGTTACCTCTTAGCATCAGTTCTGAGGTTTTTTACCCTGGGGACTCATGCTTTATGTCCAGATCATCCTGGATAACATTGAGGAGACCCCAGCGCCTTCATACCAGTTCTTTTGACAACAGAGGAAGATTCTGAATCTTCAAACATAGGCCATCTGAACTGGGGTTGTGTTTTGCTCTGGCATTCGCAGCCATTGAGGAAAGAGGAAACTTGGTGAGGCTTCTCAGCTTCCAACTCCTTGGACCCAGGACTAATAGAGACTGTAAAGTATGTTTTCCTTCACCCCTCTAAAGTTTTCCAGCTCATTGCTTTGAAGAAATGACTTTGTGATCAATAAAACTTATTTTGAGCTATTTACAGCGTTTTGGGTTTTTGGGAGTTCCAGGAGGGCAAGAAGCCATCCCCTGGGGGAAAGATGCCACGTCCATCCCTCCTTTGTTGAGAATAATAGCCCCCAGGCGTGACGGCACATCCTCAGAGGCACTCTGTGGTTCCATCTGGGTCACAACAAATACTATTTCCTTGTTTTGAGGGGCTGTGCCTAAGAAAAGTATGACCAGGGCCCAGGCCCATAGCCAGGATTTTGATTCCGGGGGGGGGGGTGAGTGGGGGGGGGGGGGGGGGGGGCTGAGTCTGAGTGAAAGAGGGTCTACCCTAGCAAACTTTTTGTATTGTTACCCCAATACTGCATATGGGATATATTGAGCATGGTGATCAGATCATGATATGAATAAACAGTTTAAATAATGTACCAGTAAGGCCTTCTCGCAGACCACCATGAGAATTTCGGAGGGGGAGGGGGCTGAAGCCCCCCATAGCCCCCCCCCCCCCCGGCTACATGCCCACTGGCCTGTTTTGCTTTTTGTTGAAAAGGCAACACGGTTGCAACTACTAGAGTACGTGGCATGGGTTTATGTATCCTTCTAGCCATTTTTCGTACTTCTTCCTCAGCTCTCTGTTCTCCCTTTGCAGACGTCGGTGTTCTTCGATCTGTTTTCGGTCCCTGGTGAGCATCTCTTGAGTGTAAAAGGGGGCCTGGCTGTTCTTTTCCAGCATGGCATCGATCATGCCCAGCAGCTCCTTCACCTGCTCTTCCCTCTCCTGACCTTCAGCCCTGTTGTTGAAAGCAAGGCAACGGCCCCCGCATCGCTCAATCTGCTCCCGAAGAGAAGCATCTCCTTCCTCTAAGAATGTCTTCAAAGTCTTTCCTTCCAGATCGTCTTTGCGGGTGAACACAACGATCATGTAATGCCTGGCCTCGAGGCTGAAAATATCTTGGATTATTTGAGCGACGTATTTCTCCTCCGGAGTGAAACGGGCCACTTGCATGACTTGTATGATGGCATGTGGACCTGGAGAGCACCATTTCACGCACTTTTTAACTTCTTTGGAAGTTTCTCCCGGTGTGACACTGGTGTCAAAAAACCCAGGCGTGTCAACCACCACAATTTTCCTGCCATCAATCACAGTCTCCTTCCTTTCGCATGTTTTTGTCCCTGATGCGGGGGATGTGGTGGACTTAAACTTCTTCTGTCCCAGGATGGAGTTTCCTGTGGCGCTTTTCCTGGACCCGGTTCTTCCCACCAGGACAATCCTCAGTTCAGCGTCTGAAACAAGGGAGGGAACAAGAGGAGACGCTGTCAGGCAAGGGGAACTCTCTTTAACTAGTCTGACCCATCCTTGTTAACTAAAACCCATGAAGCAAGGTGGCAAACCAAGGGTCAGTTACTCTTAACAAATTATATACTGAACATATATGTGATGAGTGGAGTGCCATCAGCAGGGTTCCGTCCTGGGTCCGGTCCTGTTCAGGTTCTTGATTCATGACTTAGATGAAGGGTTAGAAGGCAGGATCGTCAAATGGGGAGGGAGAGCCAATACTCCAGAGGACAGGAGCAGAATTCAAAACGATCTTGACAGATTAGAGCAGTGATGGGTAACCTTTTGAGCTTGGTGTGTCAAAATTTGCCAAAAACCTGACCATAACTTGGGTGGGGTGTCAACTTCGAGAAAAAATAAACGTAATTTTGCAATATTTATAGTTTAAATAAGAAAAATATATAATCCATGCTGAGTTATGGGGTGAACAATGCTCAAACATGCAGATGTTAAATTTGTAGAGCCTTTTACAAATTTAAAAATGGAATTGGATTGCCTCTTATAAGGTGTACTTCTCTGTCTGTGGCCGCAAGTGGCCGCGTGTCATCAAAAATAGCCATGTGTGTCAGTGCCGGCACATGTGCCATAGGTTCACCATCACGGGATTAAAGAAATGATTGGCCAAAACTAACACAATGAAGTTCAACAGGGACAAATGCAAGATACTCCACTTAGGCAGGAAAAACGAAATGCAAAGATACAGAATGGAGGACCTTTGGCTCAAGAGCAGTATGTGCGAAAAAAGATCTTGGGATCCTTGTGGACAACAAGTTAAACATGAGCCAACAATGTGATGTGGTGGCAAAAAAAGCCAGTGGGATTTTGGCCTGCATCAATTGGAGCAGAGTGTCTAGATCTAGGGAAGTCATGCTCCCCATGCTCTGTTCTGCCTTGGTTAGACCACACCTGGAATATTGTGTCCCATTCTGGGTACCACAATTGGAGAGAGATATTGACTCTAAGCTGGAATGTGTCCAGAGGAGGGCGACCAAAATGATCAAGGGTCTGGAGAACAAGCCCTATGAGGAGCGGCTTAAGGAGCTGGGCATGTTTAGCCTGAAGAAGAGAAGGCTGAGAGGAGACATTATAGCCATGTATAAATATGTGAGGGGAATATGTCATAGGGAGGAGGGAGCAAGCTTCCTTTCTGCTGCCCTGGAGCCATGGCTTCAAACTACAAGAAAGGAGATTCCATCTGAACATTAAGAAGAAATTCCTGATTGTGAGAGTCGTTCTGCCCCGGAGTGTGGTGGAGGCTCCTTCTTTGGAAGCTTTTCAACAGAGGCTGGATGACCATCTGTTGGGGGTGCTTTGATTGCGATTTTCCTGTTTCTTGGCAGAATGGGGTTGGACTGGATGGCCCGTGAGGTCTCTTCCAACTCTAGGATTCTAGGATTCTGTGTGTGGTTCACAATAAATCCTTTATCAATGGTATGAAGCTGGCCCTACAGTTTGGTTTTGGATAGTGAGGCTCACACTCTCCTAAAGAAGACACAGAAATCCTGACGAAGGGGAAGTCCCCCCGAAAGAAGGCATCTCAACCCGGGGACCCTCATCGGATATTATTTTGGATTATATGGACATTATTTTGGACTACAGTTTACGTGCTCAAGGACAAATTCTAAGACTGTGTAAATATTTTCCCAATACTTATCCCTTGTTTGGAAAGTTCAAACAAAAGCGTGAAGATGCAAAGTCTGTATGCCTTACGTATTTTCTTCTTGTGACTTATTTGCTACTGTAAACCGATTAACATTGCTAATGATAACACAGCACGGTGTGGATAACAGTCTGCAACTTTTGTATTGTTATTGGTTATAGATCTCTGTGTTCCTTTGACCCTGTGGAGGACCCTGGCAGACCGTTGCACCTGCCTCTGGGATGCAGCCCCACTCCTCTTTTTCCAGCCGTGGGGCAGGGAAGGGCTTGAGGGGCTCCACAGAAAGTCCAAAAGCAGCCTGGTCCCACGTGCAAAACCGCCATTCAGGATTACACCCTTTGTGAGGAACGTCTCATAAGAAACAAGTAAATGGTACACATTTTGATAGATGATAAAGATAGGCTTGATTGGGTGCAATGAAGGCCCCATCTACAGGGCCCCCTTGTTGTGCCAGCTCCACTGGCTGCTGGTCCACTTCCAAACTCAATTCAAAGTGCTGGTCTTGACCTATAAAGCCCTATATGGTTCTGGCCCAGCTTACTTGTCTGAACATATCTCCCTCTACGTCCAGCCTCGCAGTTTAAGATCATCTGGGGAGGCCCTGTTCTCCCTCCCGCCAGCGTCACAAATGCGCCTGGCGGGGACGAGAGACAGGGCCTTCTTGGCTGTGGCCCATCGCATGTGGAACTTGCTTTCCAATGAAGTAAGATCGGCTTCATCCTTCCTGTCTTTTAAGAAGAAATTGAAATCGTAGTTCTGGGACCAGGCTTTTGGACAGCAGGGATAATTAGCACTTTGGATGTGGAATTCAACTGGAATGGTGATAGGCTCACAATACTGTTTTTATTGTTTTAATTAATGTTCTATTTATTGTTTTCATTGTTGTTATATTGCTTTTGTTATATGTAGCGTCATCGAATTCGGGGTTGAGTAGGATGGGGTAGAAATGCTGGAAATAATAATAATAATAAAATAATACCTGATCGCATTTTATCTGCTTTGAACTGGATGATGTTGCACCTCAAGGTAGTTTTCACCTTGCTCCCAAACACCACCACACCAAAGCTGTAGATTTTGTAGTTTATTGAGAAAAAGGCAAAATCAAAACACAGTAGAAGAAATGCAAGAGTTCCATCGGCAGGATAAAGGCTTAAATGCAAAGACACAGTTCCCAAGATCCAAAGGCAAAACAATGAAGCAATGGTCAAACAAGAGTCCATGAAAAAAAACAGTAGAAACTAGGCCCAAATCCCAGACTCAGGAAGCCAGAAGCGTGCTGCTTAAAGCCAAGGTTAATCCATAGAAGTTTGCAAGGAAAGAACCACGTTGAACTGACAACCCCTGTATGTCAGCGAGAAGGCTAAATACCCTTTGCAGACATGAACGCATTGCAATGACCCTTTGCTAGCCAAGCGAGAGCTTCTCCGTCTTAATTGGAGACGATCTTGCCTGTTCGTTATTTCATTATCATCTTCAAGGCTCTCTAACCCCTTATCTTGGTCCAGCTAGACTGAGGCGCCGTGGGAAGGCAAAGAAGGCAAAGATGTCTCCACCTGGCTGTGTGGGATTTCACTCTCATTATCCGTCTCACTGACATTCCTTTCCCCTGAGAACTGACTTGCTGATTCTCCCTCTTCAGCCCCACCATCAGCCCTGTCTGAAACATGTACAGAAATCTGTACCCCATCCTCCTCCTCATGAAATTCTGGCAAACAAGGCCCACAGGGCTCAGGCTCAGACTCAGATTCAAGCTGAGTCACAACAGATGATAGGAATCTACACTGTTATATACCGTATATACTCGAATATAGGCCAACCCAAATATAAGCCGAGGCACCTAATTTTACCACAAAAAACTGGGAAAATGTATTGACTTGACTATAAGCCAAGGGTGGGAAATGCAGCAGCTACAAGACGCAGGTTCGCAGCTTGGGAGTGATCCTGGACTCATCGATGAGCCTGGAAGCCCAGGTCTAGGTGGTGACCCTGGGAGCATTTGCACAGTTAAAGCTTGTGCGCCAGCTGCGCCTGTACCTTGGGAAGCCTGACTTGGCCACGGTGGTCCATGCTCTGGTTACATCCCGTATCGACTACTGCAATACTCTGTACATGGGGTTGCCTATGAAGACTGCCCGGAAGCTGCAATTAGTCCAACGCTCGGCAGCCAGGTTACTGACGGGAGCGGGGTACAGGGAGCACACAACTCCTTTGTTGTGCCAGCTGGCTGCCAATTAGCTTCCAAGCACAATTCAAAGTGCTGGTTTTAACTTACAAAACCCTATACGGTTCTGATCCAGTTTACCTGTCCGGACGTATTTTCCCCTATGAACCATTAAGGTTGTTAAGATCTTCTGGAGGGGCCCTGCTCTCAGTCCCACCACTTTTGCAGCTGTGTCTGGTGGGAATGAGAGACAGGGCCTTCTCGGTGGTGGCCCCCTGGCTATGGAATTCTCTCCCAAATGAGATCAGATCTGCCCCCTCCCTCCTGACCTTCAGGAAGCTAGAGAAATCCTGGCTATGGAACGAGGCATTCCCAGAATGCAATTGACTAAAGTTATCGACCACAATATGCGGACTGATTTTATCTTGGCGAATTGGCTTATATGTTTTTATCTTATATTAGCTTTTTATTAGCTGTCCCCTGCCATGCGTTGCCCAGACTCTGTATATGTATTTTGTGTGTATATATATGTATATGTGTGTGTGTATATATGTATATGTGTGTGTGTATATGTGCAAATATGTTGTCTTGCGCATGCAATGTAATGTTGGGGTTTGTTTGTTTGTTTGTTTGTTTGCTTTTTTAGTCTGCTGTGTTTTTCAGTGTTTTTATGAGTGATGGTCACTTGTTGCTGGCCTGATATATGTATTTTGTCCAAATTTGGTGTCTATTCGCCCAGTGGTTTTTTAATTTATGTTAATCATAAAGACACAGACAGTATTTTATTTATTTTTATAGAATGTTTTTAGCAGTGTTTCTAAACTCTTTTAATGGCACAACACCTTAATGCAGTTCCTCATGTTGTGGTGACCCCCAACCGTAATACTGTGGAGCCCCCAGTGGCGCAGTGGGTTAAACCCCTGTGCCGGCAGGACTGAAAACCGACAGGTTGCAGGTTTGAGTCTGGAGAGAGGCGGATGAGCTCCTTCTACCAGCTCCCGCTCCTCATATGGGGACATGAGAGAAGCCTCCCACAAGGATGATAAAAAGATCACATCATCTGGGCGTCCCCTGGGCAACATCCTTGCAGACAGCCAATTCTCTCACACCAGAAGCATATATGTTCATGTACATATCTGATATGCAAGATGTATTTATGTTGAAAGCCTTCGACAATACATTGTATTTCTGTTGTTATAAACTGAACATAATTAAAGCATACTGATTAATCACCAAAACAATACGTTTGGGGTGTATGGACAACGGGTGATAGGATTTGGAGTATGTTCAACTGATTCAGCTCAGACTTCCACAGACCACTAAGACCCCCGTTAATGACAGATCTGAACCAAACTTGGCCCACAGAACCTTCTTGACCAGCAGAAAATACTGGAGGGGTTTGGGAGGAATTCACAGTAATAGGATCCTAGTGTTGCAAGAGACCTCCAAGGGCCATCCAGTCCAACCTCCTTCTGCCATAAGGGAAAAGCACATCAAAACACTCCTGATAGATGGCCATTTAGACTCTCCTTAATAATAATAATAATAATAATAATAATAATAATAATAATAATAATAATAATACCTTCTTCCCTCCCTCCCTCCGTCTCTCCGTTCCTGCCTTCCTTCCTTCCTTCCTTCCTTCCTTCCTTCCTTCCTTCCTTCCTTCTTCTTCCTTCCTTCCTCCTTCCTCCTCCTTCCTTCCTTCTTTCCTTTCCTTTCCTTCTCTTTCCTTCTCTCCTTCCTTTTTTCTTTCTTCCCTCCTTTCCTCTTTCTTTCCTTCTGTGGCAGGTTTTTGGGGGGGTGGTTGGGGGGGGGGGGGGGGGGGAGGATGAAAGGGTGAGGGGGATATGGAGCCCAAGTGGGGGTTGCTGGTCTTCCCATGGTTTACATCTCCCTTCACCCAACAGGTCCTGGGGGGGGGGGGTGTGCAGCCGCTCCTGCAGCCAGGCTTGCCTTGCAATCCTCCCATTTTGGGGGGGGGGGGGGGTTGCCTGGGGGCCACTTGGGCCTCAAAGAGCCTCTATGGTGGCCAGGGCTTGCCTCACCAAGCTTCCACACCTTCCATCTCTCCTTCCTTCCCTCTTTTCTTTTCCTCAATCCCTCCCCTCCCCAAAAAGAAAGAGGACTCTGCCTTCCTGCTTGGAAAGGCACTCCATAATGAGGCTTCTCTTCCCTCACAATGGTTGGTGCATCAGTCTTCTCATGCGCTGGGGAGAGGGGGCTTCTCCGCATGCTCTGTTAGGTTTTTGGGGGGGGGGGGAATTTAAAGTTATTTCCCCTTCATTTTAAAAGACTTTTTTTGTTTGAAAGACATAGATCAGATTAGAATGTGTTTTGCTGCCAAATTTGGTGCAAATTCCCCCAGGGGTTTTTGAGTTCTGTTAATCTCACAAACGAACATTACATTTTTATTTATATAGATGTATTTTTAATTCACTGTTGATGTATGATGTTTTAGATTGTAGTGTTTGCACTGAATCCTTGCTGTTAGCCGGTCTGAGTCCCTCTACAGTGGTAGAGAAGATTGGGATACAAAAGTTTTAAATAAATACATACATACATACATAATAACTATAACTCCAAGGATACATGGCGCGAGAGTGGCCAGATGTTCAAGCTGGGTTTAGAAAAGGCAGAGGAACGAGAGACCAGATTGCCAATATCCGCTGGATAATGGAGAAAGGCAGGGAGTTTCAGAAAAACATCTACTTCTGCTTCATTGACTATTCTAAAGCCTTTGACTGTGTGGATCATAATAAATTGTGGCAAGTTCTTGGTGGGATGGGCATCCCAAGCCCCCTTCCCTCTCTCCTGAGGAATCTGTACAAGGACCAAGTAGCAACAGTCAGAACTGACCACGGAACAACAGACTGGTTCAAGATTGGGAAAGGCGTACGGCAGGGTTGTATACTCTCACCCAACCTTTTTAACTTGTATGCAGAACACATCATGCAAGGATGTGCGGGGCTTGAGGAATGCAAAGCTGGGGTGAAAATTGCTGGAAGAAACATTAACAACCTCAGATATGCAGATGACACCACTCTGATGGCCGAAAGCGAGGAGGAGCTGAGGAGCCTTCTAATCAAGGTGAAAGAAGAAAGCGCAAAAGCCGGGTTGCAGCTAAACATCAAAAAAACCAAGATTATGGCAACAAGAATGATTGACAACTGGAAAATAGAGGGAGAAAATGTGGAGGCCGTGACAGACTTTGTATTTCTAGGCGCAAAGATGACTGCAGATGCAGACTGTGGCCAGGAAATCAGAAGACGCTTCCTTCTTGGGAGGAGAGCAATGTCCAGTCTCGATAAAATAGTGAAGAGTAGAGACATCAGACTGGCAACAAAGATCCATTGCCTAGTCAAAGCCATGGTATTCCCTGTAGTCACCTACGGATGTGAGACCTGGACCTTAGGGAAGGCTGAGCGAAAGAAGAGAGATGCTTTTGAACTGTGGTGTTGGAGGAAAGTTCTGAGAGTGCCTTGGACTGCGAGAAGATTCAACCAGTCCATCCTCCAGGAAATAAAGCCTGACTGCTCATTGGAGGGAAGGAGAGTAGAGACAAGGTTGAAGTCCTTTGGCCACATCATGAGAAGAAAGGAAAGCTTAGAGAAGACAATGATGCTGGGGAAAAGTGGAAGGCAAAAGGAAGAGGGGCCGACCAAGGGCAAGATGGATGGATGGCATCCTTGAAGTGACTGGACTGACCTTGAAGGAGCTGGGGGTGGTGACGGCGGACAGGGAGCTCTGGCGTGGGCTGGTCCATGAGGTCACAAAGAGTCGGAGACGACTGAACGAATGAACAACAACAACATAACTCCAAGGAGC